GACTTTCCTGACAAAATAATGTTGAAAAATGGAGGAAAAAAAGTAAAATTTGAAGCACAACTATTACAGATCGCTGGATGGAAGTAACATTAGTCTTATGCAAATGAACTTCAAGAAGCTTATATAAAGCTTATATATTAAACTTTTTAATATGTCAAATATTTTTCTATTACATTCGGAGACATATACTCCTGCCATGTGTCCTTGAGGAGTGGAGCAGTATCACTAATGACAGGCAAGCAGTTTATATAGGCTACACACAGGATTTAACACCATGGCTATCAGCATGAAAGCACAGACTGTTCCCTCTCATTGGGACTGCTGTCAGGCACAGCTTCTACAGGGTATACTTTTTCCTTGTTGATCAAGAGGTGGAATATTTAACTTGAATTTTAAGCAAACTCCAAAAACCTCATCAATGGAGCTCATTTATAATTTGAATGGGTTGATATTTGGTTTAAGTGTATTAATCTATAATACCTCTTCATAGTCTATGGGAAGTGAAATGGAGATATTTAAAGATTAAAACAATTCAAAAGTGAGCAAAATAATTTTTTCATGATTTTCTGATCCTACTTAGAGTAACCCTGCGAGACAGCTGGATCTCTCACAAGCGAGGATCCATCTTACCAGGCTCCAAGCTATTCACTTGTGGCTGAACAGTGGTTTGGTCCAATAGGCATCCTGAGGAAGCAATTATGGCAGCTACAGAGAAGCGCAAATTTTCCTTACAAAGATGGCAAGAATTGTCTGCCGACATGCTAACCAGCTTTCAAAGCTCCTCAGCCTGCAGCTTGTTGTTGTTATGGTTCATCCAATCACCTGCCAAGAATTTTTATAAAGTGTCTGTCCTTTTCCAAACAGTTTCCAACAAAGCCTTTCCAGATGGTTCTGTACAGCAAACCATCTGGCGCGTCAAGTTATACTTAAAGCAACATTAAAAAAAGAAAAACCATAGCCCACTCACTGATATAGATGTATGCAGGTACTCGTGCATGCACATACACACTCATTCTTACATTCCCACACACACAAACATCTCTTGACTAGCTAATAAACTTGGCGCACATCAAAGTCAAACCTTAAAATTGTCACAACACTGGCGTGGGTTTGCCCATCGGCTAAACTTATATGCCCATGTTTCATAAAAATCAAATTGGATTGGGGCGGAAAGGCAGCCATTATATTGGGATTCTTGTCATGTGCAGTGACCCTGCTGCTTGGTACCACTTGTCTGAGCCCTGCAAGTCCGCCGGTTTTTCATCCACCGCAAATTTACTTTGTCTGATCATTTGTTTTCCAATTACGTCCCTGTCCCTGCTAGCAGAAAATTGTCAGCTTTGGTTATGTGAACCCACTCTTGGGTCTGTAACCAGGGGCAATGTTTGATGCTTAGAACATTTTCATACCCATTAAAAGATGAAGGCTGGGTAAATTATTATCCCACAGAGCTGATTGGGTTTTGCAGGGGTTGGTTTAGGTTGTGATGGTATAGTGGAGCCACACACAAAGACACATTCTTATCTTCCCTCAGTGAAAGACTTGAACCTTCATGCAGAGTAGAAAATGAGTGGATGAAACTCAATGAAAGCAGAAGTTGAAGTTGGATAAGTGTTGGATTTTTCATGAAGCATGGTTTATTTATGTACTCTTGTTATTTAATCAGTTTTTCCCACATTCCTCACATCTGTGTTCAATATTTGACCAGTTTAAAAGTAAATAAAATTGTCACACTGTTTGTTTACTGTAACACATTCACAGTAATTGCCGGCAACCTACGCCTTTGGCACTGCATCGCAATTTAGATGAAAGATGCTGAACTGAACCTCAAAAAGAAGATTACACCCATGTGGTGGGGAAATACAACAGATGAGCATAACAATGGCAGGAAAAAATGGAATGGGACTTTGAGAGGTAGAGCAGAGGACAAAATAGCAGGGAAAGAAAGCAACAGAATCAATGTTTGGCTATAACTGTCGCATTAGCCATGACAAATGAGGCCAACGACAGAAACTCTGGAAGTTGACGCAGGACATTCCAATGATCAAGCGCTAAATAATCAGACACAATGGATTCTGAGAAGGAGAGGCAATATGCTGCCATGGCTCTCAGAAGAGGAGCATCAATTCATATATTGACCTTTAAAAATGCTATTAATGGATGATATCTTCAGTTCATAGCTGTGTGACAAGTTCTCTTGGAGGCTATTGTGTGCGGTGAAATTACATTGTAGTGCAGTTCCTCCACTGACAGCCTGTAGTATTTATCTGGGGTCCGATTTCACATCATAGAGTCAGGAGGTTTTAAAATGGAAAGCGCAGTTAGAATAAAAAAAAAAACATGACTGATGAAGCTATCAAGTATTGTGAAATGTATTGAGCCGCAACGCAAGATTTGTCACTGTACCAATACAGCACTCTGTCGTACATCAGTGTGTTTTCTCTGGATAACGGGCAGATGACAGTTGATGCAGTCATTGCTGGAAGCAGCACACACACACACACACACACACACACACGCACACACACACACACACACATGCAAACAAACAAAGACACTATAGGAGATTCCATTTTCAGCACTCAGGTCTGTCAGCCAGCCTGTTTTTGACAGGTTAAGAGCAATTTCTGGCCTTGATGCACAGCTCAATGTTTTTATTTCTGTTATGCCTTCATGGTCCAGAGAGGCTGCTAACAATTCAGAAACATTTCAGAGGTTTGAAGAACTAAATTAGCCATGCATTCTGACAGTCAAAAGTCTGTCGCTGGGAAATGAGTAGATCAAACTTTGGATGTTAATGAGGTTGCTTTTGCCAAGGTTATTTCTTGGGCATTTTAGATTGGTAAGAGACAGGAAAGACTAGGGTGCAGAAAAATGACACAATGTAGCCTTAGAGTTCTCCTATGTTGGGATAATACCTTTGTATATTTTTAGTGTGTTAGTTACTTGACACACAGAAGAAAGGGAGGAAACTCGACACAATACTACTAATGAGCTCCAGATAAACTAAAACAAAGAAAATAAAATAGGTTTTGAGTTCTTAGAGGGGCCCTTTACAACACTGGGCTACAAGATGGAGGATAGAGGACGTGTCATAGTTCATACTGTACTTCATTGGTGCAAAGCTCTGACAAATTTGTCAATCAAATTATGTATACCCAAATGTTGTGGAGTAAACCTGAGGCTTTTTGGCCCCTGGGCAGTGTCTCACTTTGCAAGGTTGGTAATCCATTGTTAAATGTAGTTCTCAAGAAAGGTAATGCATATTTATCTGTATAGTGCATCTGGAAGGGCAATTCAAATTGTTTTATATAAGATATAAAAAGGAAAAGCAGACATGATAAAAGAATATAAGTGACGCATATAAACAGGATTTTAAAAAGAATGCAATAAAACAGAACATAAAATTGAGCTGAGAATGAATAACTCGAGAAGAGGCAAACTGGCATAACATTTGTATTATTATGCCTTGATTTAAAAGAATTGAGGGCTGTTTTCAAGTTTTCCAGGAGTTTGTTCCAGATATGCGATTCATTAAAAAAATATATATATATTGCTTAAATGCTTGCTTGAATATTGCTTCTTCGTGTTTGGTTTTGACTCTGGGGATAATAAGCAGGCCTGTCCTGGATGACCTCAGAGGTCTGGAGGGTTCATAAGAGAGCAGCAGCAGAACAGAAATGTATTTTAGCCCTAAACCATTCACTGCTCTGTAGCCCAGCAGAAGTATTTTAAAATCAATATTTAGACAATCAGGAAACCAGAGTAAACATCTGAGAAGTCGAAGTGAAAACTAGGAACAGTGTGTTGAATTTCATCAACTTTTGCTAATATCGAGCCTACAAGAGATAAGCACACTTTTTCTAAGTTTTGCTGAGACACAACTCCTTTAATTCTTGTTCTATTTTAAGGTGTTTGCAGGTTTGCAGATTTTGTTTTTACCTGTTTGTGGATAATAAAAATTGAATCTTTGTCCATTTCTGTCTTGGTTTGCAGTCTTTAATGTTACAAATTCACGGTGAACACTCGCTTTTAATTCTTCTTCCCTGGCACCAAAAACAATTATTTCTGTTCTATATTTGTTTAACTTGGGACATTCAATTCAATGCACCATGATGTAGCTTCTTGGTAATACCATTATGTAAATGTGTGTGTTGTCCGCATAATTATGGTGAGACATTTCGTGGTAAGATAAGTGCTTGATTCTTAAAACACTACTTTAGAAACTAGCTGTTAAATTAGGAGTCTGGTTTGACTGTCAGCAGATTTCACTTCTCTGCACCTACAGAGAGAAACATGCAGTTACAGGAACAATGGCTGAAAACCGAACATGCCTGTGCATCTTTATGCGTCAACCTCATTGTCAGCCCTCTCAGGTACAGCAATCTGACGATGCTCTTGAGCAAAACAAAATTTCCCCCCCTCCAGGGCTTGGATCAAATCCTGCAGCAACTTTCCTCTCTCGCTTTCCTTGTGATTATCTCTCACTCTCAACTTTTCTGTTTTCTCCATTCAGGAGCAATAACTTCCTATTCTTTGAAATGGAAAACTGCTGCTGAAGGCTTTTCAAGTGCACTTAAGATTCATTTGAACTTGAACAAGAAATTCTGTAGCTGTAGGGGGGCGTTTGTGACATATAGCTCATTTTTTCTGACAATACATATTCATATACGGCATTTTCTTTGCTTGCCTCCTCAGAGGGACACATTTACACGTTTAATAAAAGAGAGTGGTGACACCGGTATCTGCTGCTTGTGTGCTGTTGTACAATGATGTCTTTCACTCTTGAGATGTCTAAAATGTGATTTAAAAAAAAAGAGAGAGAGAAAAAAACATGTAATAACGGAAATTTATGGCTGACAAGTGGCAGCGAGCTTCTGCTTAGCATATAATGTGGTTAATTCACCCAATTTCCAAGTTCATATCCTTCCAGCTGGCATGGGTAAGTGGTGAATAATATGTTTCCCTTCACTGCTGGTGTTTATGTAGGTACAGCTTACCTTGTACAATGAGGTAGACCTGCGAGGTCTTGGGCTGCTGCTTAGTCTGTATGGAGCAGGTATATGACCCCTCATCATACACATCCACCTGCACACAATGAAACAGAATAATGTTGCAAATTTATATTATCATGACAATATAACTGGCAGAACAGTGTATTTTATCTTCTTGCTATTCTATTACCTTTTTACAGATATAATGTTTCATCTTCATATTTCCCTTTGTATTCAATTCATTAAATTATTATAATTTTTCAAAAAGTAACCAAAATAAATATTTGCAACAAGCAAAAATCAAACCTGCAAATTAAACAACAACATTAACATGGTGACGTGATTGTGAATGGATGGTTTTGGTTAAGTGACATCACAGATGAGACACAACATGGTTACTTTATTAACATCTAAACAAAACTGCGGCTTGGCTTATCCAACATTCTGTTCTTTAGTTTTCCATTCTTTTCTTTCAGAGTTTGGGTGAACACTTCAGCGTAGTACTGCCATAAATGATCATCCAGCAGAGCATGAGTAAAATTACTTATACGTATTTAATAGTTGCCCATTGTCCTGTCTATTTCCATTGATAAAGCTGGATCCTTGAGGTATGTAGTGGTTTGTTTTCACTGTCACAGGGATGAAATCGATTTCCATTTTCCTGATTGATTGTACTTTAACTTTAAAGTGGCTATTTGTTTTCTCTGCCGTTGAATGTGGTTGCTTTCTGGGAGCATGCGGTGGTGACTGTCACTTGACAAGAGCTTCACCCATCGCTGAATTTATAATACAAGAGGTTATAACACACCCTCTGAGTGGCGCAGTGTCTTCAGGGAAGATTAGAGGCTACAGTGAGTTGCTCTCGGAAAGTGACAAGATGGGCTGGGGATGGCTGGTTAGCATGCTAACGTCAGTAGTAGAAAAATAGGATTGAGACAAGAGTTCACATTGGTATTGCTTTCCACAGCTGGAGACAGCTCTTGGTGAGTAAAGGAATGAAGTTTGATGTATTAAGTGTGAATGACTTTTTACCTTTGGACACAGACAGGATGGCTGTTTACCCCTGTTTCTAGACTTTGTGCTAAGGTAACCATCCTGGCTCCAGCTTCATATTAAGTGGGCAAAATGTCAAACTAATCCTTAAGCTTGCTTACATTTTTTTTTTTATGTAAAAACATTCCCATCTCTGGAGAGCACATAGGAAGTGTTAAATGAAAACGTAAGAATGAAGCACAGAAAAAAGTCCCTTTGACTGAGTCTGCTGCATAAATAAATGAATTAACAAATGGATAAATATTTAAACAGCACATCTCCTGCTCTTAAAAAGAATACATTTAAGTCAAAGTGTGCAGTTTATTAAGGTCATGTTTCATGATCACTGGATAGGATTCTTAAAACCAAGAGAAATGTTTTCTCTCTGATCCTTAAATGCAACTGTAATCCAAACCCAGCTCTCCATGACTCAGGTATGTGAGGATTGTAGAACAGACAGAGGTCAGCCTTTACACGCTGTGGTCAACGTTACCTTTTGTATGCGCAGGCTGTACTCCAGCTGTCCCTTAGTGACCAGATCTACTCTGGGGTCCAGGGACCACTTGTCCTGGCCTGCAAAGATGATGTTGGATCGATTGAGCCAGGCCACCTTGGACACTTTGTCATCAACGTAACACCTGTGGGCATGACAAGATCAATTTAGGTGAGGAGAAGGAAATAGAAATAGAAGGCTTGGTTTCTCATTAGGGGATGGAGTGTGGGAGGGTGTGAAAAGAGAGGACCTCTGGCCTCTTTCATTTCATGATGTGAAATCTTTCTAGGAGAATGGAAATGTGGAGTTTTTTTGGATAGAAAATAACCAAATGACAGCAACTGCTATCCCACAGAGTAGGCGGGCTATAGGAATCGTTTTAAGAGGGTTTATACACACAATCGTGTCTTGAAACAATGGACTAATCTGGGTATATTGCAACATAGTGCTATATTTGATACTGCTGACCAGCAAAGGTATTCCAAAGTTAGTTAACTTAATCAGACAACTCAGCACTTCACATATCCTGAGGTCTCGAAAGAAAATTTGAGGAGCATCTATTTCTCTCTCCCATTCTCTCTTTTCCTCCCACTCATTCTCTCATTATCTCCCTTTATTCCCCTCTCTCTTCTTCTCCCTCTTTGAATCTGACTCCCTTCCTGCGTCTGATAAATACATCGCCTTTAACAGTGAGCCTATTCCAGTGAATGAGAAAGGACACCGGTATCCTCTTGTTTACCTCTTGTTGCACGCTGTCAGAGTATTACGCCAAGTAAGCTCAAGCTAAGACATCTTGCACAGGAGGGAAGGGAGCCGAGCGTCTGCCTAATGAATAAATGTAAATGTGAGAAGACGTCGGAATCAATGAGAATGGATATCAGCTGTAATGCAAGCCGACAGTGGATGCGCCTCACATGCAAATTCCGGCAACTCCCCGAGCCTTGGCTGCGCACAACGCTTTGCAGTGTGTTGGGCTACAAGACAGTAGATTAGGGAGGCAGTGGAGTGAGGCTGTCTTTGGCAGGTGACCCTGGGTGATGCACAAAAGTGTTGGTGCAGTCACCCCAGCCTGTTACCCAGTGGGAGCTGGATGTCAGATTTGTCGAGGGCTTGTACTCGCAGCTTGAAACCTTGTTGATGTTCCTTCCCTTTGTGCAGAGCCCAGATAACCCACTGTATATATTGACTCACTCTGACATCTACCTTCTACTTCCCTCACTCTGAAATGTTTATAGAGTTTTGTTTCAAATATCTTCAGGCCTCTAATTAATAGAGATGATGCAAAGGCATCCAAAACTAATTCACACACATTTCCCTATAATCACAGAGAAGCTATACGAACAACTCTTCCTGCAAAACTAACCATAATCCAGAAGGAACATCTGGAGCACCAAAATGAAGCCTCGCTGATATAACTCAAATTCATATAATATGGATCATTTTATGCCTTTAACTTCTCAAAATATCCATGAATGAAAGGCCCCTGTGGTGCGTGATTCGTGCAAGTTAGACACTAAAACCTTCAGAACTTCATTTTAATATTCCGGTCAAGACCTCAGTGCTTTCACAGATACAAAAACATAATTTAGAATTCCGTGAAGATATCTCAAAATTTAACTTAACGCAACAATGGTATAGAGCACTGTGGCTTGAATAAAGCATTAGAACAAGCAGTGGCAAAAGATAAACTGTAAATATATACGAAACACAGTTATGCTGCCCATTTCTCATCCAATATATAAAATCTGAAATTACCAAGATATTTTCTTGTATGCAAGATGTTCCCATCAAACATTCAGACTGCATTATACATCATCAAACATCACACGTCAATGAAATTTCCATTTGATTAAGCATTACATTCATCAGAATCATCAGGATTGTTTTGGTTTCCTGTCAAACATGTACATTTGCTTTACAAAATATAATATCTTCTAGATGATAATACTCTACATGAAACATGTAGACATACAGTGACAGGTTGAACAGTTTTTAGGTGTTTGTTGTGAAGCTAATAAACTGTCCTGGCTGACTGAACAGTTGCATTTTGTTTGTTTTGAGTGAGCTTTCTTCCTCTCCGACCTTATTACCACTCATCTCCTACCATGAAGTAACCAGTAGGAGAGGGAAAACACAAATCAGGAGAGTGGAAGACAGAAGGAGGAGACGTGAACAGAATCATGACACTAGTTTCCTTGTGTTGTCTCTTTCAAAAACCTCGATTGCACTAAACTGTACTGACATTTCAAAGAGATGAGGATTTAACGACAGATCTGCAACACATATTCAACCAACAATCCATTGTTGAAATGTAATAATTTAATAGTTAAAAGTATGCATCTTGTGATATTCTTGTAGTCCTGCAGTTGTGGTGGTCACTTATAGTTACTGATCTCAGAGACATCATCCTTAATTAAATATTGCTGATGACACGTCTCAAAGTCCAGACCAGAAGTCTTCCGCTTCATTGAGTTTTAATTTATTTTATCTTAAAAAGGCTTCACTACTCTACCTCGGAAAGCAGACAAACTGCAATTGTCATCACACATTCACTGACACATTTATTACTGTTTACTATTTAGAGAGTGAACAGAGACTATTGAACAACAATAGACTGATGTGGCAAGCTGTTGCTTTCTGCTATGTTGATGGCAAATGCAGATTTTATTTCATTTTATTTATTTATTTATTTCTGAAACACCATGACAGATGCTTTGTGATCGCTAGAAATACAGTTCAGAGACTGTCGAATTCTCATCTACAGTCATTGTGTGATTAAGAAAGAAATGTTTAAGAATTTAAGCTCCTGAAATTAACTTGAGATAAGATGAAGCTTGTGTAGAGAGTGAGTAATTGGAATGAGCAGCCATTGTAATAGAATTCAGAACAGAAAAACAAACAAGCAAGCAAACAAACAAAACTTTCTTAAACTACAGCAATAAAGTAGATAGAACAGCTGTGGAGATTATATAAAGATAGAAACATTACATTTTCCACAGCCAGTAATTAAAAGAGTGTACTTTAGTTCAATACGCTCTCTCTCCTATCCAAATATTCATTTGTATAATAATCATTACAGAAACATTGCGCTGACTGTGCACACTGAAGCAGTATTATGTAACATTGCACTGTACATACATACGGTATCACTGTGCATTATGAAGCAGTAAGGAGGAAAATGTGCCTTCTCTCTTCCCTCCTGGTGAAGCTCAACAGGAGACTGTTACACAGGTCATTTTTAATATGTGGGCCACTTGAAGTGAGATGTTATTTCAAGTGTTTTATTTCATTTCATCAGAAGTTTAAAACACATCATACACACTGTTGGAATAGCTCTCATAGTTTCTTGTTAATGCCACTGAAATACCTTTTGCCTGCCTCCAATCTAAACAAGATAAAAAGCCCAAACATCCAAGCAAGAATGACATTTTTGAATGACATTACATTTTTTAATGTCAATCCATATTATGGTCTTTATGTATTCATTGGATAAGTGAAAACTATCAAGCTTATCAACCTATCAAAGTCATTAGTGAATATGATGTTTGCACCAAATTTCCTGGCAATCCATCCATTACCTATTGACATATTTCAGCCTGAACCAAAGTGGTGAACATACCAACCGACCGACTGACAGACTGACACTGCTGGAGAGCCAGGGGGCTATAGCGTGGTTTAAAATGACTACAGAAATCAAGTTTCAACCAAAACTGTAAACAAATGAATGAATGAATTAATGACCCCTATCACTACATTAATGAAATTAAATTGTAATGTGATTTGGGGTGTAATGTAGGTTTGATTTTGACTTCCAAACTACAGAGAAATAATGTAAAAATAAACTCCTGAACAGGCACTCCTACAGTATGTCCTCTGCCAGAAGGACTTTGATGGTAATATCAAAGCAGCTTACTGTGCTTCCCACATTCCTGGGACAGCTGTCAAGATCTTGGGGCAGACGTCAGTTTGTAGGTCATGAAGGAAGAAGAAAATATGGTGAAGTAAAAGAGGAAGCATTTGTTGCATGGCAGGATGCGCCCAATTATACCCTCTGTCTAAGTGAGACAAGCAGTTTTAACTGTGAATAGCATTCACACTATGAGTGTGTCTTCTCCGAAGCGTCATGCGAGTGCTTCGATAAATACAGGTGACTGGAACTATTAATCATCCAAATGTTTCTAATTGTATTACCTCATTCCAGTTGGCGGTCACCATATGCTGCTCCATATGGGTCAAAGAAATAGATAAATAAATACGAAACACTGTTCATGCTCTGTACGTGCCACTGCACTCAGGCTTCAATCAGAGCCATACTCTGCTGGCCTTATCTCTTTCCCTCTCATCTCTTCACACCACTGCCTCGCCACTCCACTTCTATTTCTCTCCCTATCCCTGTTTTCTCACCCCGTCTGCCTGTCATCCCAGTCCTCCTCATTCCACTCCGTAGGTTTCTTCTCCCCTCTCATCTCTCCATCAACACTCTGGAGCAGAAGTGGACAGCGTGGAATAAACATTCAAGGAATTGTTCATTGATCTGCGCAACAGATCAGGGGTTTCTTGGCTAGGCCTCTTGCCCTCCCTCTTTGGCTGTGTTCCCTCAAAGTGCTCGAGCTCCAGAGGGTCCCTTGGTACAAAGTGTAGAGCATGCTCAGTAGTAGCCAGTACCTGTTTTCACTAATGAGCGACTGCCTGGGAAGTGGAGAAGCTCCTATCACTTGTCAGAGCAGTTGTCTGCCTGTAGCTCTTGCTTCCTTCTAGCTGAGTAGCTGTCAAGGTGCCTGCGCAGGGCCGGGTTTCACGGGCTGTGCCGGGGCCCTGCTGGACCAGAATTAGAAATAAGAGCTTGACTGTCTCTGCCTGGCCTGATCTGAGCTGCATTCAACAAGTCACTTGCAGGGAACTCGATTTGATTGGAATAGCGAGCCACGGTTGAACAATTTGTAATGAAAATCCATCCCATTAACTGGATGCAGCCCTCACAATGATGCAGAATCCCAGCTGTATTATTTAGCTAGTCTTATTTATTTGAATATTTGGAAAAAGAAAAAGGAAAATCAACCCATTTTAATCACAACAGCATCTCCATGTTTGAAATCCTCTGCAGAATCCTTTCAAAGCCCATAATCCTCTGTAGAATACATATTC